TATGTAATAAAGTACATGATAAACTTTCTAATAAATATAGTATCATTTAATTGTTTCATGTGATTGTTGAGTTATGCGTTTTTTAAAATTTTGAAAAATTATATCTATCAAATACTTATACATAGCGTTTTATCAAATAATCATCAAACCCTATCATATAATTATTGATTAATTGATAAACGTTCGTCAATAAATTTTATAAACTTGTTTCGCAAGCTTCGTAATCTATGGCTGTTGCTCATCAACCACATCATCTTTTCTACACCACTTCTTTCATCAATGTTATTGTCAACAGAAACTGATTTTAATTAATATTATTAACAAAAATTAAAAATTAAATTTCAATTAATCAATTAATGATAATAAAATTTAATTTATCTTCATTTCAGAAATTGCTTTAGAAATTACTTCAGATACTGAGTCAAGTTCAAGATTGTGTTGTATTTAGTAATGCAATCTAATATTCTATTTGAATGTTTCGCTAGTGCATATTCGTTGCGATGAATTATCATCATCATCATCATCATCATTATTTGAATTCATTTGAATTATTTAATAAAATGGTGGTCTTGAACATTTACAAATCCAAAATAAATGATAGATGTTTTAGACATTCCAGATAAATATCTGACTCTTTCGTAAACATACGATACACCATCAACTGATCTACATAATCTTCTTTGCACCAATATTTATTACTACACTGCCTGGAAGAAAGTATCCGAACCTCACTTTTTATTAATTCCGCAAACTTTTGCATAATAAATTTTTTTTGAAATATCACCATGTAGCTTAGGTTCTAACAAATGTGTATGCAATATCTCACAATTCTGTTATTTAAGCTAATTTTTTAACCAAAAAAAAAACGAACTTCAATTAAATTTGTGATTTTCATCCTCGAATTTTGTTTAAAATAACGAGAAAAAAACCAAAAATACCATTTTGTAGCCCAAGTCCTAAGATATAATTATGGAAAAATTACTCTCCTGTCATTTGTAGAAAATTTGTTATTAAAAAAAATAACTGACAATAATAAAATCGATTAAATCAAAAAAATTTTTAAAAATCCCAAAAAATTGCGAATTAACTGAAGCTGAGCGTGGAAAATTTTTGGGTCTTAGATTAGGCAGTAGTAGTCTCAATAAAATTGTAAAGATACTTAAGCTTCCAAAAACTACAGTTTATGATACCATTAAACGTTATGAAAATGCTGAAATCTATCCCAAGAATTCTCAAGAATTAGAGATTACTTTGCAAGAGGAGTGGTCTAATATTCCTGAAGAAGTTTATAATACACTGATTGAAAGCATAACAAGGTGGATTGAGGCATGCATATCTAAAATTGGATAGCCCACAGAATATTAAATTTTTTATTAGGTGATGTTTTAATAAAATTTTAGTTTAGACAATTTTTGATATTTTTATATTAATTGAAGTTCGTTTTTTTTTTGGTTCATAAATAACAGAATTGTGAGGTATTGCATACACATTCGTTAGAACGATGATATTTTCAAAAAAAATTTTTATTATGTAAAAGTTTGTGGAATTAATAATAATAAAAAACGAGGTTCGGATACTTTCTTCCAGGCAGTGTAGTAATAAATAT